TTCATTTGTTAGGTTCTCTGACAATACCTCGCAGCTATTTCACTGAACCTTTCGACCGAATAGAACTTCACATGTTCGGTGATAGTTCGCAGGATGTTTTCTGTGCCGTCGCTTTGCTTCTTGCGCGACTTGTTAGCTCCCATCAGACCGAATTAGCCTTTGTGTTTGGCAAAGCCCGCGTCGCGCCTATGAAAGCACTTTCTATTCCAAAGTTAGAGCTTCAAGTGGCTCTTCTTGCAACCCGCTTAAAAGAAGAAATTTTGAAAGGTCTCACTTTCAAAGTTACGGATATTTTCATGTGGACAGATTGTACCACTGTTCTCCAGTGGCTTCACTCTTGTAGTAAACTACCCGTTTTTGTTGGTAATCGCACTGGTGAGATTCTGGAGTCTACCACCACTGATCAGTGGCATTACATACTTAGCGGTGATAACCCAGCTGATACCGGTACACGAGGGATTTCTTCGGAAGCCCTCAAGGAAAGCAGCTGGGTTAATGGCCCTAGTATTTTGAGAACAACTGATTGGCCGTTCAACCCCGGTACAAGGGTTATTGATAAAATAATACTCAAAGGACCATCATGTGATATCGACATTTGTCTGGAAAATTCGTCAAATTTTGTCGTCGATGTTTTGACAGAAAAAAATCTTCCCTTCGGAAAATGGGAGAGATTCAATTCAATTGTAACATGCAAACGCGCAGTAGCATTTTTGTTAAGATGGCTGCCATCCCATAAACATTTCCGGTCGAGTATATTAGAAATTACAGACCCGTCTGAAATGGATATTGCTGAACAGAAGTTCATTTACCTGTCCCAGGGTGAAACATTCCCTAGTGAGCTAAAACTACTAAGATCCGGTAAAGTCATCACGAGGAATAGTCGGATCGCCAAGTATTCGCCGTTCATTGGACCATCTGGCATCCTTCGCTCGACTGGGCGCATCAGCCGCTTGGTTAATTCCGATTTCGATAGCAAGCATCCGATTATACTTGATGCACGTCACGCGGTTGTTCGGTTATTGGTTCAGCATTTGCACGTTAGGAATTTCCATCAAGGCTTGGATTACATACGTGCGGTGGTTAATTTGAAGTACGTTGTGTTAAATTTGCGATGGTTGCTGCGAAGCATTGAAAATACTTGCGTTGTGTGCCGAAAACGCAAAGCGCAAACCGTAACTCATATGATGGCTGATCTGCCCATTGAAAGGCTGGGTTACAAGCAACCTCCTTTCTCTAACACAGGTGTCGACTACTTTGGGCCGTTCCTAGTTCCAATCCGGAGAAGTACGGAAAAGAGGTGGGGTTTTTTGTTCACCTGTCTCACCACTAGAGCGGTGCACATTGAAGTGGTCCCCTCGCTCGACACAAGCTCTTGTGTGATGGGCGTGGAGAGGTTTATTGCACGTCGCGGTACTCCGACTACCATCATGTCTGACAACGGCACGAACTTTGTTGGCGCTCAGAAAGAGCTCTTAGCTTGCATTGAGAGTTGGAACAAGCTCGCTCCCGCTGTTTTTGTTCAGAAAGGGATCAAGTGGAAATTCAATCCACCCAGTGCACCGCACCATGGTGGCTCCTGGGAGCGATTAGTTCGGAGTGTCAAGCGCGTTTTGTATGACATCTTAGGCAACAGAAGAGTAACTGAGGAGGTGCTAAGAACCACGCTGTGCCTTGTTGAGCAATCACTCAACGCTAGACCGATAACAGTCGTTAGTTCCGATCCGCTAGATCTAGAAGCGTTGACCTCGAATCATTTTATCCTTGGTCAACATGCAGCGAGTTTTCCATCGCTAAGTTTCGAAGAAAGCTTCGACCATAAGAAGCGGTTCGCCAGAGCGCAATCATACGCTAACGCAATATGGACTCGGTGGATGCGGGAATACGTTCCTTCCCTCAATAGGAGGGCAAAGTGGCACAACCAGTCAGACGTTAAGTTGAAAGCCGGCGACTTGGTTTGGGTCATAGAGCCTGACACTCCACGTGGACATTATCCACTCGCACGTATCTTAAGACTGCACTATGGCAAGGACGGATGCGCGAGATCCGCCGACATAAAGACCGTTACGAGTGAACTGACCCGCCCGACCGTAAAGCTCGCTCCCGTTCTTCCTTGTTTAGGGGTGGAGGATGTTGCAGCGCAAATGTAAATGTGCGAGAGTATAAATGCATATAAAGTTGAACCAAAATGTAACAACCATAAGCACAGTTGGCCGAGTGGCCTAAACTAACGCCGATTATATTTGTGACATAACAGTTGACGTAGGTTTGAGTCCCCCACCTGCCCATGTATTAATATACTAAAAAAGGGGGTTATTTCCTATTTTAACTGTTTTGTTGATTCTAATTTGGTTCAGCCTTGATTAAGGCTGACCGCTAAAAAAGAGCAATTTGTCTCAAGGACATTACCGACCGGTTCTTGTGGCTAGCTTGCGCTAATTTGTTATTGAAGCGCTAAATTTGATGAATTTATGAACTCGTTATACAGCAAATTTTGGGATAAAATTATCAATATTGCCTTTGAATTTTGTATTACCGAGAATACGAATTCATTGTTGATTTGTCGGTTAAATTCATCCTACGGAGATTAGCGGGCACAATTCTGAAACACAACTTTTGCGATATTTATTCTACTGAATTCTAAAAAATTTTGTCACCATCATTTTTTTGAATAAAGTGCTGTTGTGAATGAGCTGTGTATTTTGATCCACCTTCAATTAACAAAGAAGAAATTCAAAGACATATTCAGCAAGAAAATTTTACAAACCATTTCGATGAGTTTTTGATCTGACTTTCAAAGAAGGAAACAGCATTTTTGATCGGCTTCACCAGGCCAATTAGATATTTTCCTACAAGCCATTTTTATGGTTCAGCTAGCCGTTTGTTTTTGATGGAGTTTTTCTTAATATCATCTGAAAGGCTTGGATGTCTATAGCTCAATTTTAATAAAAGATTTCAGTTGTTATCATTTTTGTCAAGTTATTGGGGTTTCGTAAAGGCTGCCAAATAGGCCAATTTGGGATAATTACCGCGCAATTTAATTCGTGTTATTCACGCATAAGTCGAATTCTTATCCATCTTAGAAAATGTTCCAAATCGAACTGAGGCTTGTAACTAGGTATATATGCAAAATATATCAGTTTTTTTATTACATAGCGTCAGGCGGATGGTTTTTAAAACAAACTGTAGCGAAAACTTTTTTTTATTTGACCAATTTTTTTAAACCAAACAACTCTGCAGAGACATTAAAGGGCAATGGGAACTTCTCAGGTCTCACACTGATACGAGAAGTTTTATGGGCGATTTAAGCATGTTGACCAAATAACTCGTAGGTAAAACTTCATTGGGTTTATATTCAAGCTTCTGTGTTTCTAAAGTATTTAGTGAAGAAACGTAGGTAACTTCATTGTTTTTTCATGTTTTTCAAAGAAAAACAAGACAACTTGTTTTTTTTTTCATCTCTTTAGTTTAAAAAATGCCTTTTTGCTCATTGGATGTACAGTTATCTTTTTTTTGCAAATCAACTGGCGCAAGCATAACGCGAGCAAAAAACTGTGAATGATCTAATCAATTTAATTGAAGGTTGCTTTTTGTGTCGACCAACCAACCGGCTTCAGTGGGAAAGCGTAGGAGTTTAGATTAGTTTTTCCTACAGTAAATCAGAATCTCCTAAGTACTCTAGCCGAATATGGGGACTTCTATCGAATTAAATTCCTTTCAGTCAGATTTGAAAAGTTAAAAAGATATTTCAAAAAAATGAGCACTTTGTATCGAGAGAGACTGGTCGGAATATATATTTTCTAGAGTGACTTCCAGGCAGATTTAACAGCTTTTCAGTCCCTCAATCACAACTTGTATTTTTGTTTTAACTGTTCATATAATATTCCTTTTGCTTTTTTTTGCTCTTTCTTTCGATCCACTACTGCCATTCAAAAAAATGGCACATATTTCAAACAAATTCGATAAAAAATATTTTGTATATAAAATTAAATTTTACTTTACGCATTTTGAAATCTGAATTCAAACAACAAGTTTTTTGTCATACTTTTCACTACAAAAAAGTATGTAAGTAGCATATAATTTTTTTAAACTAAGAAACTTTATGATAAGCACTTTTTATACTCTTTAAAATTGCATGACAAGCATTTTTTTCCAGAACTGAAAATACAAAAAAAATCACGTCCAAAAACGCGTTAGCCAATTATTTTCTAAGAAAGGAAAACCCAGAGTGTAACTTGCGGTTACCACGCAAATAAACTGCATTTGGTGATATTCACCGTATAAATCATTGTAAAGCTTTCACACAGAAATATAGAGAAAAACCTTTGGATATGGCTAAAAAGTTTCTACGTAGAAAAACTCAGTGGTTGAAAAAGTTGACTATTTTCTAAAGGCATAGTTTTATCTTAATAAATAAAAACAAAAGACTAGTAGCTATCATACAATGATATTAACAAAAAACACTCAAGTGTTTACTTGAGCACAGAAGCGAGTTTGCTATCAAAAACTTTTTTACCTCAGTTTTTTTATTTAGAAAAAACGCATATCATATAATTTCCTTATAAGAAAATTATATGACAAGCTTTTTGGTGTTCAAAAAAAATTTTTTGGTGCCAAAATTCCCACATGAAACAAAAATTGTATGAATTGTATGATAGGCATTTTTTGTATGTAAGTCACCCGGGTGGCTACTCTATAATAATCATGATAATTGCTATAGTAATCAAAACTTGCTTCATTGTCTTAAATAATAAAATTTCCTTAACAACGTCTGGTCGATTTTTGGCTCCGGGGGGTCTGAGTCAGCAGAGACATATACCTCTTGGGGTCGAGGAGATTATTTCAGGAACTCGTTAGTTGCTATCTGTGGTAAGTACTGCTGCAGATTTATTCATTTATAAATGTATAGCCGGAATATTTTAGCCGCTCATATTTTAATATAATATCTTATGTTCTTGTTTTGCACCAGACTGGTTATAGACATATTCCAGCCTATGGGAATTAAGAACAAAGTCCGCAATTTTTGACTCTGAATTTATTGTATATTTTATGGAATGGAAATTACGCAAAGGTGGATCTAAGTCAGTGTTATACTAGCCTCCTTTCTTTTCATGTTCGCATACTTGTGATTATTATTATTACTATCCGTCTCTCAGTCTTTTTAGTGGTGCATTTTTTCAGCAAGAGCTTTCTCAATTTCAATAGAAATCATTAATCCAATATTTTCATTTTTATCCAAATATTATTTAATTTCCTATCTTAGAAAAAATTCGAAAAAATGTTCAGAGTTAATTTAAAATTGCAGATTCAAAAATTTCAAGTTTCCATATTTCAAAGTACTTGAAACCCTCAAAAAAATTTATTTTTAAATTAATTTGCTTGCAGAATCATCACACTTTTATGAATGGATTACATTAATTTAAAACTTGTAATGTGAATTGTTTTATATTATTTTTCAGATTGTTTACTCGAAGTGTTCACCTGTCGGCAAGATAATTAGCAATTTCAATTCAGTGGACCTTTGAGTGAGTTTTGAATTGAATTGAATAGCCAGTTTGTTCGCGAGTAAATTTTTAAGTGGTCTGAAATTCAACTCGATTTAGTGTTGATTTCTGTAGCTTTTTAAAATCGAGAGTCTTCAGCAAAAATTAATTGTTGTTGACAGAGCCATAAATCTGAAGCATATATCAGAAACACGCTCAAGTACTGAAGTAACTTTTTGAGCGAGTTTTTTTAAATTAACTTCTTTAAAATTTTTCAAATTAATTTATACAACAAAATTTGTCAGTTTTTTTCATTTTAAGCAAAAAACGCAATTTCAATTTGTGAGTTCAACTGCTTCAGTTAAGATGAAAGAACCAATCAAAAATAGGTGACTCAAATTCTGCTTGATTTGATTCATATCTGGATTGCTTGCAGATAAAAATAAAACTTTTCATTCATATACATCCACAGCGCGCCGCAAAACTCTTTCATCTAATAGCGGGAAATCCAAAAAAGTATGAACCGAATTACTGATGAATATAAATGCCCTTGACAAAAAAGCTGTTCAGCTTGGTTTCTTGATATTTAACCCAAAAACGTGAAAAAACAAAAGAAAACAAATTTTTACCAATTAAACCACTAAGTATGAATCAGTTTTCACGTTTCTTCGTTAGTAAATTGAGGAAAACAAAACTATATTATACAAATAATAAAAATCAATACCTTATTTGGCTAGCCTTAATTTAACCCCAAATATCTAGAGTCAGACAGAAACTCAGGGAAACCGAATTAGGTTTTTCGGATAGAAGCTTCATGCTGACTTAAACAACTGCTTCTTTTAGATTGTTCAGGTCAACAAGCCTCGAAGTCCAGATACCGTTTACTGTTGCGTTCTAATTTTTCTTGATAACAATTAAACTACTAGCATCATGAATTTTTTTTTATTTTTGACAAATTCTCGAAAATGAAAACTCGCAAATTTTGAAAATTTTGGTCTGCACACAAAACTTCTAGATCTATCACTGCTATAAGTTTTGTTCTAGCCTATTAAGGAAACAAAGCACGAGCCCTCTAATCTTCTGGGAGAAAACAAGGCCGGGTTGTTGTTGGTAAACTTGGGTATTCCGCTTTTATAGCGCTGCACGCAATTTCCCGTTTCCTCTCAAACTGTTTCGACCGTGAAGTTTTCCCTCTAACTTTTGTACAAAACTGGGTCGTGCTCGTGATATTGATACTTCCAGATCCCAATTTCTGGAGGGAAGGAATGGCATTTTGGAATGCCAACTGGGTTACGGCTAGCCCAAAATTAGCTGGAAAACAGCAGGAAAATCAATATCTTATGCAAAACACTTTCGCGCCCTAACAAATTACAGACGCCAACCAGCGAAACGACTCTGTGGTGTTTGGCTGGAAGCGAGAGGCGGATATAGCGGAAAAGTACCATTATTTTGTGGTTTTGTTTTTATATACAATATTGTTATTAGCTTGGTAAGCGAAGAAATCAATGTGCAATAAAAGCATTCGGTAATACGAGCGACCAGAAGGCCGAACTTGCTTTGCTCCGCAAATCTAAAAAATGGTAAATAAATAAAAAAACAGAATTAGCTTCATCGCAAACTTTCCCAAATTAAAATATTTTGGGTTCTTTTGAGCAGCTCAAAATATCAAAATAAAAAATGAACACTAAATGTCAGAAAATATTTTGAAAGTATCTTGTCAAAAGAGGCGGGTGATATAGAAGGATTCAATTTTTGTCGTCGAGAAAATTCGGCTTTTTAAAATTTTTGCCCAATAAATTTTCACAATTTTTTCTGCTTGATTGAGCCGAAAGTTGAATGGATTTTAATATATGCAGGCGGTTGCCTCTCGCTAAACTAATTTCTGCTTTTTTAAACTCGAGGTCTGGTTGTTAAGATAGAGACCTATATAAAAACAACTTAGATTTGCAGTCGAACCAACTTGTGCGTTCTTCGAAACGTTGCCGAAGTACTTTACATAATAAAACCAGTCTCAAACAAGTTTGAATTTTATAGTGATTGTGATTAACACAGCCATAAAAAAGTGATAAACGCGATATAACAGCGTGCGTTTGTTATATGATATTATAAATCGCAACTAACCGTCACTTTTAAATCAAGTTAAAACTTAACACGCACAGAGCAAATCACCGCCCAGTTAATTATTATACAACTTGGCACCTGTATTTGAAAAATATTTGGAGTAGCACATTTTTGAAAAAAATATATTTTCGTTTTTGGTTTTTGATTCCTTTTGGAAACTTCAACGTCAATTATTTTGTGATAGTTTTTCCGTTTCAATTAAGATGTGATTTAAAAAGCAAATCAATTCAATTCAAATTCATTTCTATCTATCACTAGACGTTATTTTTGTGATATTCGACTCCATTCAACCCTCGATTATAATACTTTTGGGATATTTATTCTGGGTATTTATAACCTTCAGATCTTTTGGCACCTTAGAATAAATTACTTCATAACTTTCATTTTCGATTGAAGACTATTGCTACAAATCAAACCAATTCCGAAATTTATAGATCGGTTATCGTTCATTTGTTGACTGAAACCTTCAGTTCGTCGAAATTTTCCAATTTCTGATCTTAAATTCACTTTTGATTGATTTATTATTGAAAATTAACCAAATTATTTCTTCTGATTAAAATATAAAACTTCTGCTAACTTCTTATTTTTGGTAATACATCTCGCAAGGAATTGGCAATCATATTTAATTTGACGCAGGTTTTGAGTTCTGAGAGGTTAGGGGCTCTCGAATGTTCTAGTTCTGTTTAGTTAGTCTGCTTATTCTGTTTAGGTGTTTATTGTTGCTTAAACAGAACGATTAAACTGCCTTATCGCTCTCCAAACAAACTTCTCGACACATTCTTTAGGATTTGGACCCCATTTCTGAAATTATACTCCAATTTTACCTTCGATCTTTTATGGCCCAGACAATGCCTACAATACTTGCACCTATTCTGTCCAACCAATACAGCACTGCAGACATTAAATAGACCAGAAACCCTAAAATTAATCGCCCTTGTTCGAGACCAAGCTTCTAGTATTTACCGCTTTTCAACCCAATCACAATTCACAATCACCCCCCCCCCCCCTCACTCTTCTGTGAAAGGTGATAAAAGCGGTGCTTTTGCCACATCCACTATCTTATCTTCATCCTCTATTTTATTGTTTGTTAGTAAACTCCCCGGTTTAGTATCGACTAGTTAGTACTTCAGTACCGCCAAAGCTTGCTTGCAGTTCTGCTTAATGACGAAAAGAATACCAATAAAGCAAAAATCTGTTCCTGATTTCCTTTGAAGAAAAAAAACGGAATCAATAATTACCAACCCATTGAAGATTTATTTACTGTGTTATTTAGAAGCACTTTCCAAGATATATTTCCAAATTGGCTGAAAAAGCAATCTGAAATTAATTTTGAAAAATTTTGAAAAAATTCAAGTTTTATATTAGTTGTTTCGATTTCTTAATTTGTTAATTTATTTATTTATCATCGTTATTTCCTTTGTTACGATTAATTAATTAATAGTGCCACGATGGCTGGCAAGAATGTCAAAGTATGGACCTTGGCGGTGTTCATGATGGCCATGACTATGGTCCCCACAGGTCACAGTATGGCTAGTGGTGATGTCCACTCGGACGGGTACTTGGGAGAACTATACATGTGGGTGCTGGACACCGAGAAACTAGTCGGTAAGTGCGGTGGCATTGGAATATTAACGGGGGTGGAGTTCTAATGGGGGGGGGGGGAGGTGTAATATTAACGGGGGGGGGGGGGGGGGTGGATTCAAAAGTGCAAAAGTACAAGTGTACCAAAAACGAGTAAGTGTTTTAGTTTGCCGCAAATCAGCCATTTCTGGGATAATTCAGCTTCGTTTCATTTGTAGTATAGTTTCATTGAGGTTTGTTTGAGACTTGCAACGTAAATTGGCAGATAGGTATGTTAATTTGCTGTAATAAACATTTTACGTGCAAAAAATTAGAATGCCAATACAGTGGTGTCGCTATTCCTTTTGATTGGTTTGGCAAGCAATTACAGAAGTTTTTTTTGCTTCTTTTAATAGGTGTTCAATTTTTAAAGCGGAATAATTTCTTCATTTTTCGTAAGACTTTTTTTGAAATGATTTAATTATATATATATAATAATCATAATAAGGATCATAATAATAATCATAATAATAACAAGACTGCTTGTATATCAGGGCAAAGCCCTGAATGTTCCGACTGTCGCTTAATTCATATCGAATAGTTTTTGGGGAAAAAAATATTAAAAACCTAAACATTTTGGACAATATCAATGTGTAAAATAGTTTGCCACGCATAAATAATTCGCGTTACGCTCTCAGCATTATGAATAAACTCTTCAAAGTGCGCATAATTTAGTCCAAAAAATGGCCAATTGGGCAAATTTCAAACCCCCAGAACTTAAAAAAATAATTGGAGGTTAAATGTCTTTTTGAATTTTATTTCAAGAAGTCGGTATCTTCAATGGGGTATAAAAAATTTGTTGAAAACTATTACATGGTTCGGCAAAAATTGACTGAATCAAAAAATCACACCGAGCATAAATATTCCGTTTTCTGCAAAAATCGGAACAATAATAATCATAATCATAATCAAAATCATAATCATAATAATCATAATAATTATAATAACCATAATAATATTCATCTTAAAAATCATTATAATCATAATTATGGTCCATTTGAAATAGGTTTCTGGGAAGAGAGCGTTAATTTAACTACACCTTGAATTTTATAGTTATAATTTCAAAATAGCACAAAAAACACAGTTTGTGGCAAGTAAAAATAAATTACAGATAACTAACTTGAAAAAATATTCGAAGACAAAAAATTAAAAGAAGAAATATTTGGTTTAAATTTCACTAGCTTAGCTCAAAATAAATTTCCCTCTTCCGTCTTTCCGAAGATTGTGTAGGCACAGTCTTCACATGCGCTAAAACTTACCAATTAGATACATTCTTTCAATTTCAATTATTGTTTGAGTAGTTTCTTTTTTTTCGGACTAATTTCCGAAAAAATATGTTTGCTCCGACGGGGAGTTGATCCCTAGTTGTTCATAAGTCCCATCTGGTGCCCACACCGCTTTATTCACTTAACGCGTGTCTATCTAAACTGCTCGTTTTACAATTTGATCCTGAAAGAGTAATGAGTATCATTTAAGCTTTGCTAATTATCCCGCACTACAAGATCATTCCAAACTGAATTGAGACAAGCTAATTGGTCTCATTAAAATTCCATGCACGACAGATGTATATGTCGAGGCAGAATCTTTGGGAAGCGGGGGTCCTGGCTTCTATGTATCACGATAGGCAATAGTAATCCGGCCAACGCCTTGTGTATTGAGATAGGGAATAAAATTTTCCAGGTATAAAAGTAGGTTGTAGGTTCCGCAATGTATTATGATACAAGGTTTGAGAAGATAAATTTCGTATGGTAAGATTCATTTTTTATAGTTTGATAGCCTACAGCCTACAACCTATCGCAAAACATAGATGGTAAAATATATTTCTTTTTTTAATACTTAGAGGTGCTGACCGTGTTAGTGTAGCCTATTTTCAATCACGGAGGTCAGGAAACCCTTCCCCCTGAACAATTTAGCCCCGAATTATACAACTTACGACTCCAGTTTCATTTCATAAATTTTGATAGTATCAGTCTATATTTCAGAGTTTTTGAATGTTTCATATATCAAAAACTATTTGAGACCAGTTAAAGGGCAGTTGGAACTTTCAGGGAACTGTCCTGGTACGAGCAATTTTTTAGTTTTTTTGAACCTATAAGCCATTTTTGGCAATAATTTAGCAACAATTTTCATCAATAAATTGCTTTCAGTGATCAATTTCGTTTTCGATATTTTGGAATCAGTGTGATTCGAAAAGAAAAATTTACTAGCTCTGCTATAAAAAAACACAGTTTATCTTGAGTTGTTTGTTTAAGCATTGTTTTTTTTTTGATTGAACAATTCCTTCTCTGTATCATTTCTGTTATCATTTTTTCTTGCAAAGATGAACGTTGTTGGAGCTTTTTGTGATACACTTGCAAAATAACCGGCTACTCTTTTTCAAATTTGTTCATCAAACTAATTTTGTGGCGCTAGCTCAAATAGAAAACGGTTGGATTACTTATACCTGGACCGGCGGAAAATATCTATTTCTGTGCATTGTTTGTTTGGATGAAATTAAATGAGGATTATAACCCAGTTTTTTTTATTTCACCAAACGGTCTTTGAAATTCTGAGAAAACCAAAACAGCTCTCATCAATCAATTACACCTGCTAAAAATTAATTCATTCACTAGTTTTTAAGTGTTTGATTTGGAATTTGAGCTTTCAGAAAGCAAAAGATTCATGAAATCTTATATCTTAAATTTGTAACTATCGAATAATGAGACCCAAAATTTGGTTCCCAGCTTTTGAGAGGCTGGTGGGATATTTTCAATCATGGTTTTTCTTCTAGCGGCTTCAAAGACAGTTAAAAAAAGCTCTCTATTTTTATCAACTAAAATGAGCCCTATTTCAACTTGAATCATATGGAAATCTTGACCTGATAGCATTACCTATTTAAGCTGATTTTCAGGGTAATTTCAATCAATTCCTAAGACTTGGTTGCATTTTCAGAGAATTAGGATTCACTTGACTTTTAGCTTAATTTGAATATTTCCTGCGCATGATTTGGTTTTACGAGGCTGAAGTTATAATATAATAAGCGAATACAGGGGGGAAAAGGGTCAATTAATTGATTATTCGAAATTTAAACGACTGTCAGGTCAAAAACAGCGCATTTTTGGCAGAAGGAACAAATAGCAGAAAACTACTTTAGCCAAATAGAATTCAGTATTCAAAAATGAAAATAAAACACGTGACAATTCGTGACTAATACTTTTGATTGGTTTGTAATTTGCTGTGATTCAGCCCTTCGAATCTTTTTAAACCCCCCACCCCCTGGTATAAACGAAATTTACCAACCCTCTACAAAGTACTAATTTAACACGAGTTTTGTAAGTAACAACTAACAAATTTCCCCCCTCTTTTTGCAATAGGAGCGGGGGGGGGGGGGGTAGTAAGTAAGAACTGGCCCTTTCTTCCATTCGGTTCGTCTTCCATAAGAATATTCCCTTCCAAAAAAGTTGAGGAAAAGAAACGGAAAAAGGAGGAGGAGCAATAACGGTTTTGTTCCATTAGAGGTGGAAGGAAATATTGAGGATGGGTTTTCATTTGCTTGCTGTCGTTAAAACTGAACTCCCCTGTTTGACAGACAGCCCAGCAATGCTTTAAATGCTGATAAAAACAATGGGGGGAGGCTTGTCGATATAGTTAATAAAGCCTTTAATGTCAATAAGCCGAAAACAAATGTGTTTCCAGACAGTTTTTTTGTTCATTATTAAAAAGTGAAGAAAAGTTTTAAAGATTTTTTTTCGCAACATTAATATTTTATTTTGAAGATCCCCTCCCCTTCCCTTTACAAAAAGGGAAACTCTTTACAAGGTATGCACAAAATCTTTTATGCTTATCAGTTGAATTTGTTCTTTATTGGGCTGGAAATTTTATAATATCTACCATTTAGGGGTTAATAATTATTAAACTCCATTATGCTTGGTAGTCGTCGCTGCTATTCGATATGATGGCTTGGTGGATTTAGCTATTGAGTTAAACCTTAATGATTTTTTTTGGGGGGGGGCTTAGTGATGTATTGACACAGTGAAAGGAAGGCGGGAATTGTAATCAGCCTCCCTCCCTGCCTCTTTCAATCTATACAACTGCAATTGATCGATTGGATTTGAAGTGAGGTTGTGGAATTTGAATTTGATCCAAATTGAATTGTATCAAATTGTGGTCACGATATAATTGTACTGCTGCTGCACCATGTCGTTTGACAATTAGGTTAACCGCCAGAATTCTTTTTAGAAGAAGGACTTAGATAGATTTATGCAAAATTGCCTGCTTTTTCCCTGGGATCCAAATTTAACAGAGTTCATCGACCGAACTATGCATAGAGGAATAAGCTGACCTTTTATTCAATAAAAACAAATCGATGATCATAAAATATTTAAGCTAACCTCCCTAGAAATTAACCAAATCGCCGCCCATAAAAATGGACTTTTGCTTCTTTTGAGCTATTTTTTTTAATCCTAAAAACGTTTTTGGCGTCAAAAAAACTTTCCTATAAAAGTTTTTTTTATTACTTTTTGACCGGAGCGCGTTTTGCTTAAACCTTCCAAAAGTTTCTACAAATGGGACAGACGCTACCTTGTTATAGTTTTCTGATAACTATGATATCTGGGATATTTCACTTTTTCAAAAGAGCTCAGCGAAGCCAGTTTTGCAGTCGTAAAAAAGTCAAAAATTCTAAATCCCTCCCATATGAACATAATTCTGCCCCAACCTAGTAATTTAAAAAATTATTGTGATTTTATTACCCTAAAATTCGATAATTTAACACAGTAATCCTCGCAAATACGCAGGACTATTAATCTTAGAAAACCAGAAAAACATCAATAATTCTGGCTAATTGGCCTTCTGGAATGAAATTCTGCGTTTCGAGGTGTTTGTTTGGATCTATTCCGACAGCTTTTGAATCCTCTGCCCTTGTCAAACGAATCCAAATTAAAGGACCCGTCTAATAAATTTACAAGTCGCTGGATTTTCCGAGTTCTTAACAGGCTTCTTGTTAAGGTTTTCACAGGTTTAGTCGAAGAATAAAAATAATCATTCTGATATTGTTTTGGATTTGAGCGAGCAGTCGTAAATTTGCAAACTGCAATTCGCGACTAGGTGAAATTAAAATTGATTTTATAGGCGGGGTGGAGTTTATGGCTATGGTCTTGTCTTAGTACTTAGACTGCTGGGAGCTTAAAGCACCTGTTTTGCAGAATTGTTACGCAGAACCATGAAACGATAGCGCAGCCAACTATCGAATCATACTGGCCAAAAAGCAAATACTACTATTTCGCCTTGGATCTCAATATCGATGGCAACATTTCGTTGGGATTTATTTACCAGCAAGATTCTAGAAAAATGTATATACAGACATTTGAGATTGACTTAATGAAGATAATATATGTTGATTATTTTAACTCTAGGAAGAGAATTGAAATAAAATTAAGGTGTTTTTGAATTTTTCAATTCATTTTAATGTTGTACCAATTTGGAAAAAAAATTGTGTGCACAACTGCCGAAATAATTCCTAATTTAAAGTCTTTCTGCTTATTGACGAATCAAGCTCTATGTGTAAAACCGCGGATATCGAAAAAGCCTGCCTGAAACCACCATTACTAGATCCCTGCAAAATTAAGTAGCCTAAACTTGCACTGAATAACTTTGTAGTTCCAATACAGAGTCTATTCTATTCTGATAGCAGAAAGACCATCTAACGATATAAAAGTTTTCATGCAATCGGAACCGTTTAAACTGTCCAAAACTCTTTTGTTTAATTGCCACGGTATCTTTAAGATTTCGGAAAACTGAATTCTGGTTGGTTAATTTAACATTCTGCTATTCGGTACTTCTGTCAAGGTCCGAAGTGGCTCTGGATCCGCAATATAATGAGGGAGGGGTTGAAAGTAGACTAGCTTTCCCTAATTGGGGATTCTTCTTGTGAACAAAAACAAGTTCACCTGAAACAGTTTTATGACTGTAACATTTGATTTACGATTTGCGCACGGAACAAAACTTCAAATCCCAAATCTCAAAAGTCTATAACAGTTTTGATCTTTCCATGCCCAGACTGGCTTTCAAATTAAACCCGGCTGGCGTAATTTAGCCCCCCCCCCCCCCACACACACACACAGACCATAAGCCATAAGCCTCACGGCAACGATTTTACCCTCTGTAAATTAGAGCTGGGAGGGTCTTACAAGGGTGGTTGGATTCTGGGAAAACAAAAAGGGACCCTAAAATAATCCTTAGCAGGGTAAAAACCTCAAAATCAAAGATAATGATTATTTGTTCACGTGTTTGCTTATAGAAAGTGTTCTGCAATTTTTGGGAAAGTTAGTGAAAGTTAATGAGCTTTGTAGCAATGAAAGCAAATAGAGTTTGTTTAACTTGAGAGTGTCTTAACTTTAAACCCGCCCAATAATTGTCAATTAAACCCTTATGCTTCGCTGGTCACGAGATATTTATAATTATAGTGTTCTTTTATGAAGGTATTTTCATGCTAGAGCTGAAGTTTCGGACTCTCATATCATAAATTTACGAGCTTATTTGGATTTTTTTTCTCAAATTTAGTAGTCAAAGGAAGGATTTTTTGAAATAAATCGAAATTTGTAACATTCTTTTTTTTTTGCGTTGCGCATGTTTTTTTTGCGATTCTTTCAATGAATCAAACTTTACTCGACTATTACTTGATATTTCTTGAGTATTAAAAAAAGGGAACTTTTATTCGATTTATGTACCTATTTTTTTCAAGATTCTTTAATTAACTCCATCTTTTGTCTGACTTTTCTACAATTAATTTATACAATTCTGCCTCCTCGGGCTTTAAGTGTCAAACAAAATAAGAATTTGTGAAGTGGGAAAAGGCGGCTACAGATCAATCGAACATGACTCATCCAAAAAAAGAGCTGACCCAAATTGGGGAATTGAGTTGGGCAAAGGTGGGGTTATAGGGCGGGGAAATTGAGTTTAATCACATCTTGCGGGGGAATACAATTACACTTGGGGGTTTAATTACTCAGTGTGGCTGCAGCTTGTTACACTTAAATAGTAGCTGGATATCAATTGGGGAAGGAGCTGTTGATATAGCAGGAATCGATAAAAACAAAGGATAGTGAAGAATTTATTATGAAAATACATGCACACTTAGAAAAACATATTTTAAAAAAAAACATTTTAAAAGCTCGTAAAAATCAATAGTTACACTACACTGTAAAATTGTGGGGGGGGGGGGGGGGGTTCTGGGGGAGGGGAGGGGTAAAAGAATTGATGTAGTTTCTCACCAACAATCTTTCCTCTGAGAGGAGTTGACATTATTGGAACGAACTTTGAGCTCAGGAAACCCCCACGCCTGAGCTACGAGTGAGCTACTAATGATGATATCAAATACAATTTAATAACAACAAAACTACTCGTATCAGGGCGAAGCCCTGAAAGTTCCGACTGCCTTTTAAGGTTTATGGGGCAGTAATAACATTAAAAAGTTAAATAATAAAAAAAATGAAATTTTTTTTTTTGAAATTTGAATTTTTTTATGAAAATCATCCCCCCCACACGCCTTATGAAGTACAAAAGGACAGATTTCGCTCCTTGTAACAAATTTATTATGGCAAATAAGCTTTTTTCTAACCAATTTGGAACGATTTCTAAGACGGATTAACTCTCCGCTTACGCGTTAATAGCGCGAAATATATCGCGCGTTAATTGTCCCAAATTGGCCAAAGTGCCAATCTTTAAACCCCCATAACTTTACGAAAAATAATCACAGGTGAAATATTTTTTCAAATTTAAGCTCAGAACAACAATGGCTTTCGAATGATATAAAAAAATTCCGTCAAAAATGGCTAGTTAAAAAGTCGAAATTTGTCTGAAGAAGAAAAAACCCACCCCGAGCACAAATACTCCGTTACTTTCGTATCGAAAGTCGGAGCAATTACTTTCGTATCGAAAGTCTGAACAATAATGATGTGAGTTTAACCAGTCTTTACAAAGCTCAAGAGTAAAATATAAAATTGAGTCTCAGATTCCCTTTTTAGTCGCATTAAATTCTCTTTTTTTGTTAATTCTGAACAAGTCTGAAACAAAAACAAGACTGCTCGTATCAGGGCGAAGCCCTGAATGTTCCGACTGCCTTTTAACGTTTATGGAGCAGCAGTAACAAAGAACAAAATCTATCTTTTTGTACTTTATATGGCGTGTGGGGGGATGATTTTCATAAAAAGTTTCAAATTTTAGAGAAAAAAAATTTTCATTTTGTTTTATTTCATTTAATTTTTTATGTTTGTAACAAATCAATTATGGCAAATAAGCTTCGTTCAACCAATTTGGAACGATTTATAAGACGGATTAAATCTCCGCTTACGCGTTAATAGCGCGAACTATATCGCGCGTTAATTGTCCCAAATTGGTCAAAATGGCCAAAAAGGCAATCTTTAAACCCTCATAACTTTACGAAAAATAATCACAGGTGAAATATTTTTTCAAATTTAAGCTCAGAACAACAATGGCTTTCGAATGATATAAAAAAAATTCCGTCAAAAATGGCTAGTTAAAAAGTCGAAATTTGTCTGAAGAAAAAAAAAACCCACCCCGAGCACAAATATTCCGTTACTTTCGTATCGAAAGTCGGAACAACAACTGAATTTTTTTTTTTTGCATTTTATTGATTAGTTTTGCTTTAAACGAAATTCAAAAACGGATGGAAATTTTTGAAGGGACATATACTTTCAACTTATTTGGTTCTACGTTAACCAGTTTCACCAAATAAGTTTCCTTAAAAAATATTGTATCCTCACTTAAATACCTGCCCTTTCCGCAAAAATTTCAGTTAAGCCAATTCTGAAACTGTTTAAACACTTTCATGTGAAGAAGTTGTATAGTGTATAGGTACCACAGGGGGTGATATCGCTTTCAACGTTCCTTTGGTCTCTAACCTCGGTAACAAATCTTTTATCATTGACGACTCTTTTTTGATGCTTGTACGCTCGATGTTTGTGCAAATTGTTCCCAGTTTTTGCTTTATAATAGTTTTTGTTTTGTCACAGCAAGGATGTTGTAGAACTTTCAATGGAATTCAGGCACTTGTTGTCATCAAGGCATATTAAGCAATTTTTCATTTATGTTTCTATTGTCTTTCGATATTATTGATACTGCAGCTTGAACTCGTTAGCAAAGATTATCAACATTACTCGTTTCAGGCCTATTTAGACATCAATGTCTGATCACGGGTGTTCTTTCATCAGTTGTTGAAAACAAAAAGATTTCAACAAAAAAGAAAAAAATACATTTTCGAAGAAAGTGATTAAGTGATTCATCTCAGTGATCACTTGTTTGAGGTATTATATTTTTTTGGATGGGGGCATCAAGTTTCATTCCAAATCTCAACTCATTGCAGAAGAAAGTTGCTAGATCGAATCCCCCCCCCCCCCACCCAGATATAAATTTTGTTTTTGCGGTCTAACTGATTCTACAAGGTTGTATATGACGACAAAATGTGTTTGTATTTGGATATTTTTCCGCCTGCCAAATTATATGAAAATGGGAGAATGTGAACAAAAGTTGAAAAATTATTTTGAAAATACAGGCCGATGGGAAAGTCACAGTTTAAGAGCCACTAAATTTTTAAACACTCTTTACGCTCAAATCATGACAAGTTTTGAAAAATGGAGCTGAGTTGAAAATTTTTGGTTGACAAATTACCTTCGGTTTCTACTCGAACTATTTTCTTAAATAATTATTCTTAAATAACTTTACAGGTCAAGATGTTTCTGAAGGTTTCTATTGGTAACTCTTGACCAAATTTCAGCCTATATTTTTGACCAAAATAGTTTGCTTTATTTTGTTGTCTTAGGCTACACAGCCAGTTTTCCTTACATCCGGAGCGGCAAGATCCAGAAACAAGCAGTGTCTCATGTATTCGATGTGGACAACGACGTCAATAGCTCCCGATTCCTCCTCAGTTCTCAGAGTGACGTCATTGTGTTCAACATCAGTGCACGAATCTTTCCCAAAGTGGACGGGGTCATTGACCCCAAGATATACTTCCAGGGTAGCCAGGCGGAGAAGACTTCGCCAGATGGAAATGAAATCACGATCAAAGGAAATTTGGGTGTGAAAGGCTTCAACAAAAGTTAGTTTCATGTTTTAAATCGAGAGGTCGCTTTTGTTTTTATTACTACTTCACAAAAACTTTGTACAAAAAAGCCCAGAAGATTTAGACTATAATTATCTGCAAAAAAAATGATATTTTTCAGATTTAGTGTTTGCAATTTTTGTATTCGTTTCGCTGCATGGAAAGCGTCAACTACAATAAATAGTTTTTTTTTACAGTTTAATCAACAGTTTTTTTTGCTCTAAAAGCTAGTAGATGGCTTTATTTGTTCTAAATTGGACTAATAAACTTCGTCAGAAAACGGTTTGAAAACTCGAAGAAAACAATTTTTTATCAGTTCTAACTATCGGCTAATTCAAATTTCAAATGGATGTAATATGACATATCACTCGACCCTATATGATGTTTATTTGTGCTAAACAATTTAACTTGGAAAAAAATTGGATTTCACTAAAACGCAACCGAATGCAAAGTTTTTCCCCTATTGAGTGGGCTTAGAAAAAATCGACAAAAAAAACTTGCTAAGAGCTTTAACAGAATTAATATGGTGTAATATAATTTTCACCCAACATTTGACCAAAAGTATCACCCCCTAAAACGAATTTTTTTTCTACAGTTTTTTAGTCAATCAAAAATACATCAAAACTACCAGTTCAATTACGAAGTGCAAACCTATTTTGGAGTGAGCCTCGTCTATATCCCAACAAGAATGGTAGATTTTTCTCAATTTTATAAAGTAAAATTAGTTTTCACTTGATTCCGAAAAAGAACTTGCCAGCAATCGTTTATAGCCTGATAGCCATTCTGTCTAAAAGTTTTTGGAGAATGAAACCGCAAAATTTTGTAAGTTATTACCTTCTTAAGCTTTGTTGGGCAATTGAGGCTCACTTTGATAAAACTTTGTTCAGCAATTGAATCGGTAGTTTTGACGTAATTTTTCCAGCTTTCGAACCCCAAGCACATATACTCCCCACTTTCTTCGAAAGCTAGAAAAATTATGTCAAATGGGCTTGGGGTGATTTTTTCATTCATACTATTTTTGGCAATTTGGGGGTTCGTTTCCTGCTGCTACGTTTTGCCTGCTCTGCACGCACACTACTATGTTAGCGCGACTGTCTGTTCAGGCTAAAACAAGTATTTATAAGCTACTCATTTACTTTTATCCTGAAAGTGAAACACATTTTGTTTAAGCGGGGCGAATTGACCTGTTTTGCAAAGTTGTTCCAAATTGAATTGTATTTTTTTAATTAATTTTTTTTACGACCCGAATTTCAAAACTTAAAAATTGATCTTATCAGTCAGCCTAAAAATAGTTAAAGGGCAGTCGGAACACTCAGGGCTTTACCTTAATTCGAGCAGTCTTGTTATTAATTAACTCAAAACATGAAAGTAAATATTTATTTGGGTAAAAATTTGGGTAATATGTATCCATTTTTAGCAGAAGAATCCTTTGTTTGTTCTAGTAAAGACGCATTCTAAATTTAAGGGTTGCTATTGTACACTATTTTTGTCCAGCATTTTGAACATTTTTTAGAGAGCTTGGGGATCTACCTAACAATATTTTTCCTATGATATCTACTAAAAACTTTCCACCCTTCTAAACAGAACTGTAAATTATCTTTAGAGCGTTCTTTTGAGAGTTTTTATTTTGCTGCATTCTGATTGGTTTAAAATTAGATTAATAAAATCTACTTAACAATCTCCCTCCTTACTTGAATTTTTATTTAAATCTGAGCTTGGAAAACTAATTTGATTAATTTAAAAAATTAATCAAATTTTCAATTTTATTTTGATAATCCAACCTTGCAGAAATGATAGATCGGCGCGTGGTCAAAAACAAAAAGAAATGTTTTCTTAAAATTTAAAAGCTCTTCCAAATTATTTAGGGTAAAAATTAATGCATGCAAAAGAATTTTCGGTTGCTGTGCAAAATCAGAGAAAGTTTTGGCCTTAACAAAGCTGGTCTACGATTTTTCCGAGGGGAGGGGGAGAGGATTTTTAAAAAAGAATTCTAAAATTTTGCCGATTTTTTTTTTAGATTGAACAAATTGATTTCATAATTTCATAAAGTTTTAGTGTTTAAGCTAATCTTGCAATTATTGCTAATTCGCTTATCATCTGACAATTATCGTTGATTTTTTTCAGCTAGCACTGCAATTTTCTGCATTTTTATCTAGTTCTTCTAGGTTTTTTTGAAATGTTTGATCATGGAAACATGTTCTATCTTCTTTTATTCATTTTCAGTACAAACATCTGGTGTTTCTTTTGAACTCTTGACGTTTTTACTTCTCTCCCTATTTTTTTCCACATCATCAGTCAAACTGAAAATAAGGCGGAGGCTCTAATTTCTACTCAGATTTTTTTCGTTTCAGTATTTACATTTAATTTATGCAATGAAGTGTCATTTTTATTGATTTATTTGAAAAACAAAGCGGGCGGCAAATCCGAAATTTTTTTTGATTGATTGCAGGAAATACATTTCTAAGCACCGATCAAAAATCGTTAAATAATTAAGTGTTCTAAAATTTCAAGGTGAAAAAAGAACAATTTTTTGTATTAAAAAACTGAAGTACTTCAAAAAGATCTCTTTTTGAAGTTTTCGTTTTGTAATTTTATTGAAAATGTTGGGAATTTTTGAGAGGAAAATAGCTCAGGGGATTTGCTAATAACTTCTGGTTTCTTAATTTTAAGTTTGTATTTGCTCTTTATTATGTAATTATATGTTTTGCGTTTCACCTTGGCAATAAGTTCCAACTTCGTGTGGACTAATTTGTATCAAAAATTTATTTTTGTCATCAAACCAACATTTGCGATCAGAAAAATGAACATTTTTTTTTGAACAAACAATCCTCATTGGCAAAATCTGTTTGACAACACATAAATTATGCAATCTTGGAGTTATTCAAGTATGCAGAAGCAAAATTTGGAACCAAATGTGGCTGTGAAGCCGGGAGGCGGCATAGATTGTTCATCGGCAAAGATCAAAGGACCTTCTGTTTTCATTCAGTACCATTTGTGTGTACATTTTTCCAAGTCGGCAGGGAGGTGGCGCCTATTTTATTAAATCCTCCCATTTGCACACTCAAAACAATGCGCCGTTCATTTCCTATGTAGACCTCAATTCTATAAAAACGGTATTGGCTTAATGAGAATGACTGATTAACTCAGATTTAAGACCATAATTACATGGACCATCCCTGAACTAGATATCATGCCTTCGCTTTAAGGGTTTGCTAATCTACAGAGGATAAAGAAATATATTTAATCGTGTTCAGATTTAATGAATTTGAACTGGTCTGAATGAATTCGAGGCGGTTCTTGTCTATGGCAATAAAACCTGACCCTAGGGCCAACCCATAAGAATCAGATAAGAAATAGGGTCTAGGAGTCTGGTTATTACAATAGGATCACTCGTGGGTATAGTTCAAGGGAGGGGCCAGCAGAAATATCAATTCGGAGAGACAATAAGCTTTATTTGGTACTATCGAAAGAAAATCGGCCTACCTTATTTGGAGCTCTCCCAAATTATTCAGAAAAAATTTTAATGCATGCAAAAGAGTTGCCAATTACTGTGCGAAGATCACAGAAAGTTTCGGCCACAGTGGCGCGGATCTAAGATTTTTTTCGAGGGGGGGGGGCGGATTTTCAAAAAAATCTGAAATTTTGCTGACTTTAATTTAGCTTATTCAAATGATTTTCTGAGCTCTTCCAAACAACGATACGGACCCTATTTGGACTAAATTTTTCCCCGCTGCTGGCATTTTTTTGAAAAAAGTCCAAAGAGGCGTTTATAGGCACTTTTTGGAATATTTTGACTGATATATTGCATTATCGGAGCCCGTTTTCCCTCAAAATTAATATATGTTGACGCCAAAGGCGAATTTTGCAAGAATTGGGGGCGACTGACTGCAGTTATCTCTGCAAAATAAACAACAAGAACGAGCACCCGTTTTTTATCAAAAAAAGAAAAAAAGAAATAATTTTTCAAAACCGTTTCAGAAAATTTTGCACTTTTTCTTTTGAGTAAAACCGAACTTATGCTTTCGTTTTTTGTGCCAGAAACTAAATATTATCAGCGTTTTGCGTCGCTTAATCGCTTCAAGTTGAAAGTATTGGCAAAATAATCAAATAGATTTTTTTCGACCCCGAGAAAACTTGTTAATGTCGATTGACTCGCAATTGCAAACAGTTTTTTTTTGAAAAACTAAAACAAGCGATGACTACGTTTCACCGCATTTTCCGTGTTCAAACACAACGTTGAACCAACCCGAAAGACGGCAAATGATCATTACGAAGCCAAATTGTGTATTTTTTGAATTGCAAGCGGATTCGGCAACAAGTATGTTCTTTTCGATCTTTTTTTTTGTTCTCTTGTTCTTTTTGATTGTTCCGACAACATTTAACAAGCTTTAAGACTTGTCTCTGGACTCCAGAGACCAGCACACAATAATTGTGCACTTATCCAGTGCACATATTGGCTTTGTAATGATCTTCCCCATTTTCACTGGTCGGAACCACAAAATAGGATGTAGCGCTTATAATTTTGCTGGCAATTTTAGTTTTTAGTTAATCTTTTAATTCTTGTTTTTTTTTAAATTTAAAATTTGTTTCAGTCGCACCCTCATTAGTGCTACCAAAAAATGATAAAAAATATTTTTTGTAATATGAAAAATAAAAAATATATATCGCGTTTTTTAATACCCGTGTTTAGCTGAAATTCTGTAAGATGATTTATTAGCATATGTGATATCTGAAAATTTATTTGTTTTAGGTTGAAATTCATTTTTTTTATATAGATGAAAATTTTCAAATCCTTAGATGTTTTTCTGTTGTGGTTATTTAGTTTTTCTCTCTGTGTTTTAAATATATATTTTTTTGAAGGATAGGGCCTAATAACTCTTTGTCTTGTCCTTGCTGCATTCTAAATAAATCAACAGATTCCGATCACTGCCATATTTTTTTAACAAAGAATTTAATTTGAAAGTGAGAATTTGATTTTTTAAGCGCAATAGAACGAAGCTCAGAATGCTCAGAATGTTCCAAACATAGTCTTAAAAAATTTCAGCAAATTTGGGCAAAAATTTTAGAATATCAATTTATTTTTGGTAGCTTAGGCCAAAAATTGACATTCAAAATGAGTTTCGCCAATCATAAACGCTCCGGACATCAATTTCAGATGAAATTCAACAAGCGTTCCGAAAAATTAATTTATTTAAACTTGATGAAGATTTAAAAAATGTTTTTATTACAAAAATTAGTATAAATGCTTACATTGTTCAACCTAGATTTTTGTCAAAAAGTCATTCAACGATTGTCATTCAAAAAGTCGACATACTAAAAGTAGTTGAGTAAAAAAAAATGTTCCGCTTCTTTTTTTTGGTTCTTCAAATTTTCAAATTCTTCAAAAATTATGGGTTTCTATATTCGCTAAAAATTTATTAGACCTGCCAATTGTGATCTGAGAAATTGTTTTGTTTCAGCTTTTAATGATTCTGCGATTTTGCACTTCGAAGTTTTATATAAAAGAAATCTGTTATGTTTAAGTGTTCATTTTTGTTTTTTATTTTGCAAAACAACTGTTATTAATCAAAGTCATTCGCATGAAACAATATTTTAGTGTTATTTTTTATTCATTTTGCAAAGATAATTTTACAGAGCATATATCTGCTGTCTGAACATTCTGATCATTTTGCAAATAAACTAATTGAAAGTGCTGATTATAAACTTTTTTTATCTGAATCTTATTTTATCGAAATTAAGTTTTCCTTGGTAAGAATTATTTTATGAGTGCGTTTCATCTTTAAAAATATAGACCAAAAAAGCGTTCACGTAATGGAATGTGTTTTTTTAAGAGTCAAGGTGCATCAATATTTTAACTAAGAAAGTTGTATTGAACAAAAACGTTATTGTTTAATGAACGCTCCTTTGACCCTTTCATTCAAAAAAAAATGCCAGCTGAAAAAGTTCAGATTGCAATGCTGATAAAACACGGAAATTGAAGGAAAAAAACGCTTTGCATCTCTGAAATTTAGGAAGATGAAGTGCATCAAAGTGTACTTCAAATTGACATCTAGTATGCTCTAAATTCATCTCGAGTTGATCATTAAAGCAAATGAGCTGCCTTTTTTACGCAAAACAACCATCTATTTCTAGCAACATTTTAATCCTTAATATTTTACGTTCATGCTAATTGTATATATTTTTTAAATTTTAAGTGTAAAGAAAATTTAGGCTTTTAGTACAAACAAGGGTTTGAAGCTGAGCAAAAAACAACACACTTTTTTGCGAAGAAAGCTATGTAAGAAAAGAAAAACATCGTTCGTTTTCTGAGCTTCTTAAATATTTACCCTAGCCATAATCTTAAAGTTAAAAAGCAAGTATATCAGGGGTACATTGAGTACCTTTTTTACAGATTGGGGGGATTCTGAATATAAACTTTTTTATCTGAAACTTTTTTTATCGAAATAAAGTTTTCCTTGGTATTAATTTTTTATGAGTGCGTTTCATCTTTATAAATATAGATCAAAAAGCGTTCACGTATTGGAATGTGTTTTTTTAAGAGTCAAGGTGCATCAATATTTTAACTAAGAAAGTTGTATTGAACAAAAAAGTTATTTTTTAATGAACGCTCCTTTGACCCTTTCTTTCAAAAAAAAATTGCCAGCTGAAAAAGTTCAGATTGCAATGCTGATAAAACACGGAAATTGAAGGAAAAAAGCGCTTTGCATCTCTGAAATTTAGGAAGATGAAGTGCATCAAAGCGTTCTTCAAATTGACATCTAGTATGCTCTAAATTCATCTCGAGTTGATCATTAAAGCAAATTAGCTGCCTTTTTTTACGCAAAACAACCATCTATTTCTAGCAACATTTTCATCGTTAAAATTTTACGTTCATGCTGATATATTTTTTTAATTTTTAAATGTAAAGAAAACTTAGGCTTTTAGTTCAAACAAGGTTTTGAAGCTGAGCGAAAAACAACACACTTTTTTGCGCAGAAAGCTATGTATGAAAAGAAAAACATTGTTCGTTCTCTCAGCTTCTTAAATATTTACCCTAGCCATAATCTTAAAGTTAAAAAGCAAGTATATCAGGGGTACATTGAGTACCTTTTTTACAGATTGGGGGGAGATCTGAATATAAACTTTTTTATCTGAATCTTTTTTTATCGAAATAAAGTTTTCCTTGGTATTAATTATTTTATGAGTGCGTTTCATCTTTAAAAATATAGATCAAAAAGCGTTCACGTATTGGAATGTGTTTTTTTAAGAGTCAAGGTGCATCAATTTTTTATCTAAGAAAGTTGTATTGAACAAAAAAGTTATTTTTTAATGAACGCTCCTTTGACCCTTTCTTTCAAAAAAAAATTGCCAGCTGAAAAAGTTCTGATTGCAATGCTGATAAAACACGGAAACTGAAGAAAAAAACGCTTTGCATCTCCGAAATTTAGGAAGATGAAGTGCATCAAAACGTACTTCAAATTGACATCTAGTATGATATAAGTTCATCTCGAATTGATCATTAAAGCAAATTAGTTGCTTTAATTTACGCAAAGCAACCATCTATTTATGGCAAATTGTTTCTCCTTAACATGTTACGTTCATGCTATTTTTTTTAAAATTTTAAAATGTACAGAAAACTTAGGTTTTCAGTACAAACAAGGTATTGAAGATGAACAAAAAACAACACACTTTTTTGCGCAGAAAGCTATGTATGAAATGAACTACATCGTTCGTTTTCTGAGCTTTTTAACTATTTCCCCTGGGCATAATGTAAAAGTTAAAGCAAGTATATCAGGGGTACATTGAGTAAATTACTTACAGATTGGGGGGGGGGGGGGGGGGGGAGGGTTCGCCATTGATTCTTTATAAGGGTGGCTATTATTTACTTATTTCCTAGCTACCATAATTGGGGGGAGGGGGGCGGGTTGTTTACAGAGATAATTTTTTCGATCAAATTGAAATATTTTAGGCTTTCGGGTCTTTTTACTTATTTAGCCCAAAATATTGTAACATCCCCGCATTAATAATTTAACGCGAGAATTCAATATTGTTTTTTTTTGCAATTCCTTTTGTTTCAACCACCCAGGTACATGCACTAATATTTCTGGGTCTTGTTTCGAGAATTAGGATATTTAGGCTTATTAAATAAAAAGACCTGCTTAAGCGGAAGTTCTATACGTATTCTATGTCTATATCAATTTTGACCTCTACTGATTGACCTTTGACAGTTGACCTCTTCTGTTTTCAGCTGTTGACATAGTGGCCACGTGTGACCCGAATAAGCAGCTCAACCAGAACACTACGATGCGAATACGGATGACCTTCACGTTCCAAGTGATCAGCGGTTCTAAGTCCAACCCCCCTGTGCAAGTGGTGGTGAACAGACGCAAGAAGTGCTTCCTGTCCGCCGGTACGTCCCCGGGTTATAATGCAACTCTTATAAGTTATAACGCAACTCTTATAAGTTTTAATTGAGCTATAATTTCTTATAAGAACCTTTGATCTTTTAAATAAGTTACATACCTACAAAACTCAAACCATCAAACCAGCTGGAACTCAAAATTTTATAATATTTTTACAAGAATTTGAAAATATTTTGAATTCTTCTGACTTGATCAAACAATATTTTTATCATCTTCCATCGTCTTCTGTTTCTCTTTCTTTTTTGACTCCCGGGTTTTTTTATAATTGAAAATAAAACATTTTTGGAACTGAAAAAAAAAGTAAAATTAAAGTTATGAAAACTGTTGTTTAGCATCCCATTTTTGGTTTATTTTCTAAGAAGACTCCAAAGTAACGTTTATTTGATGTCTTAAATTTCATTAAATGCAAGTTATTGTTCCGACTTTCTCGGATATTTGTGCTCGGAGTGGTTTTTTCTTCAGACAAAATTTGAATTTTTCACTGGCCATTTTTGACGGGATTTTTAAACATCATTCAAAAGGTATTGTTGTCCTGAGCTTAATTTTGAAAATATATTTCACCTGTGATCAATTTTCTTAGCGAAAGTAACCGAATATTTGTGCTCGAGGTAGTTTTTTTTCTTCAAAAAATTCGACTTTTTAACTAGCCATTTTTGACGGAATTATTTTTTACTGATCAAAAGGTATTAACATCTATTATTTACTTATTTCCTAGCTACCATAATTGGGGGGAGGGGGGGTTGTTTACAGAGATAATATTTTCGATCAAATTGAAATGTTTTAGGCTTTTGGGTCTTTTTACTTATTTAGTCCAAAATATTGTAACATCCCCGCATTACTAATTTAACACGACAATTCAACATTGTTTTTTTTGCAATTCCTTTTGTTTCAACCACCCAGGTACATGCACTAATAATTCTGTGTCTTGTTTCGAGAATTAGGATATTTAGGCTTATTAAATAAAAAGACCTGCTTAAGCGGAAGTTCTATACGTATTCTATGTCTATATAACCTTGAGCTTAGTATCCAAACAATATTTTCACCTGTGATCATTTTTCGTAAAATTATGGGGGTTTACAAATTGCCGTTTTGGCCATTTTGAGACAATTAACGCGCGATATATTTCGCGCTATAATCGCGTAAGCGGAGATTTAAACTGTCTTAGAAATTGTTCCAAAATGGTTGAAGGAAGATTATTTGCCAGAATTGATATGTTACTACGAGCGAAATGTATTTTTTTGTAGTTTATATGGCGTGTCATATTAAAAAAAACTTTCATTTTCTTTTTACATTTAAGTTTTTTCATGTTATTAATGCTCCATAGATCTTAAAAGACGAGCTGTCTTGTTTCTTTTAAAATTTCATTTCACCTTGAATGATTCTCTAGGCGTCATCCTGATGACACACTTACTAAAAATTTTCTGTAAAATCTCCTAAAACTACTGAGTAAACAGTCACCTAAAATTAGACTGGCAAAAATTTGTGGAGAATTTGTTAAATTTTAAATTACTTTTCTTGAAACATTTTTTTTTCGATTTTCATATTAACTCTTACAATTTCACCTACCCCCACCAAGTTTTTTTACAAAGCGAACTTTTTTAGCTGTTTTTTTTTTACTGTTTTTTTTTTGAAATCTGGTATCCATACTTAATTGGCCTTTATTTTTGCTTGTGAAATTTGCTTTTGAAATCAACGATTCACGTACAAAATTTGTGTTTCTCTGTGTTGCAGAGAGTATTTTAGAGCGTCATAGGGGCCCCGCATTTAAATGAATTATATGAAAATTCTATTTCTCAGACAAAAAAAATCTAATGAAATTATCATAATCGAAGTGGTTTTTACCTAGTTAACTTTGCACATAGTAGTTCGATTTATCTTTGGATAAGGTCATATAACGTACACAGAAAATTTGGTAAAAGCATTTGAAAAATATTGTTGCCTCGAGCTCAGTTATACCAAAACCTTACCTGTCATCATTTTTGTAAAATTATGCGTGTTTGAAAATTGCTAATTGACCAATTTGGGACAAGTACGCCACATATTGCGTTTTTATACACGCGTAAAATGGCAGATTTAATTGTTCTAGGTGAGTTGAGACAAAAAGTTTGGTCATCTATTAGGATATGAGACGCTAAAAACACCCCTTTGTACTTAACATATCGTGTGGGGGTATAAGAAGAAGAAAAAAATTGTCTCGATTATTTTATCAATTTTTCAACCCTAAACTTTTTGATTGGCCCAAAGGTGCAGTAGGAACATTTAGGGTTTCGGTCTGATATACGGGGGCAGCCTTGTTCATTTTCAGGCTAAGACTTGAAAATTTAAAGAAGTCAATGACCGATCATAAAACTGAAAGATCGAATATCAGCCTCTATTTGGTCATTAAACAAGTGTCTACAGCTACAAAAAACCGGGGGTGTATAAAACCGGGGCTGCATGAAACCAAATTGAAGGACTTTATTCCGAACAAAATATTCCTTTTTTTGTTTTTTGTTTTGTCTTTTTTCAATTTTTTTTCACTGAATTTGATATGTAGCTTCATAGCAGAAACAATTACAGTTTGAAAAATGCAAAACTATTTAAAATTATTTTGTCCCTTATTTTTTGAATGATTTTTTGATTATCGTAGATCAAAGAATCGCCATTTGTTGAATATCAAAAAGTTTTGCTTTATTATTACTTATGTTGAGTTAAGCATTGAGCTCATCAATCAAAAATGGGGTCTGCAAATACCGAGAAAACTTTTTTCATTGAATTGAAACACTATAGTCCATTCAATTATTATAGTTTTTACGCCATTAGTTTTTGGCGCGCCAACCCTTAAAATTTTTTTATGAGCATCAATTTACACTAAAGATAAAGAGCGATCACGCGTCGAAAAATCAAATTTTTAGCCAAAATTTTTCGAAAATTCCCTTTAATTTTCTGGTTATTTTTCCAATTATGGGAGTTTATAGGGTTTTAGGGTAGCTTGAAAATTAAATTAAGTCAACCTAAACAGTCAATTATAAGAAGGATGTATTTCTCCTGCTAATTTTTGTAAAGAGCTGTTGAATTGGACGAGATAAGACTAGAATGTGTGATAATAATAGCTAAATTTATAATAGCTTTTAGAATTCGAATCACGGCCAAAAAGGCTTTAATATGATCTGAGCCTTCCTTGGGGTAGACAAAATTGGCTGGAAAAAATTTTGAAAAATGAACCGTAATCTATAGTTGCTTTCCACTCTTCGAGATTGGTCGGAACAAAAACCACCAGAAACCTAAGTTTTTGTTTCGATTTCTAAATTTAAGAAATTATTTGTATTACGGTCAAGCTTAACGCTGATTCAATACTTCTTTTTAATTTGCAGCTCTTTCAATATTTAAGTTCTCTTTGAATCTTTTCTATTGGCGAAAACTGTCTTCAAACCAAAAACTCAAATCCTTTAGTTTGGCTCTGGGATTTTGTTTCTGAAATTTTTCCTCTAAAATGTAATTGTTAAATATCACCTAATCCATCCCCTACACATTTGTAGTACACATTTTTGGTTAGATAAAAACACGATTGTTGTATGTCAAACAACATAAAAAAACCCGAGATTTCTGAGCAATAAATTCTAGGTTGTCATATCTGTAAGAAAAGCTTCTATATGAATTGAAAATTCATCAAAAACAAAAAATGGCGTTGAAAAAATACACTTTCACGAATCTGGAACACGCTCCACTGGAAAATTCAGGCGCTTCAAATCAATTTGAATTTATATTGATCGGATTACAATGAAAAGTCCTGGCACAAAACAATAAGTTCACAAATAAAATAGTCAACATTTCTACTAATGGTGGACAATTAGACAGAAGATATTTAAATATCTAGGTGTTAAATCGTTTGAATGTACTCCTTTTTGAACCATTGACTCAGAAAGAAACCGATCCCATTAAACTAAAATCGATTGTTTCACAATTTTATGTTAATATGTTGAACTTTCTTAATTGTTTTGAAAACGGCTTTTAACGGTTTTTTAAAGACACCATTGATTGTTTTATTGTTTTGTTTACATTGAAGTTACTTTTTTTGGAACTAAAATGCATTACAAAAATCAAAACTAATTGAAATTGTTTTGGTTCCGAGGGATTCGCGAGTCGCCGTAAAAAAAACCTGTTAAGATTTGACCCCCTTTCACATCTGCTAACTGACACACATAATTTTCGTCTTTTTAACTATTGTCACAAACCATCTTTTTTCCTTGGAAATTTCATTTTCGGTTTATTTTGTTTCGCTTTCGTTATTGCTGCACTCGATTTAAGTTCCATTTTTACTTTAAGCGTACAAATTTTAGTTCCGTAGAAACAGACGTTGATATCTTTATGAAGGGAGCGTCGGTTAAGAGACACTTCAATTTTAATCACTTTAGAGGTTTGCCCAAATTTTGATCCCATGATACCGTCATGGTACATGATATTTTGCCATACATTTTAAATTGCATTATCCCGTATTTATCAATTGTTGAATTCAACAAGGAATTGTTTTACCAAAAATTCGAATACTGTAAGCCATAGTCCGGCCATAAAGCATTTGCGGCCCATAAGGTGCCAGTAATCTTGTTTCTGTTTTCCTGGCTTTATGCCCACAGGCCTGGCTTTGACGTGAAAAGATATTAAGCCAGCTTTTAAGCAACCGGCTACATTTAAATTGTCTCTGGACTCTGAATCTTGAAAATTTTACTTTTACTGAAGCAGTTTTTTTTCGTTGTCTGCTGTAAAATCTTTCCTTACATAAAATTTTTCTTTACATAATTCTCTAATTTGACAATTCGATAGTTCTATTTTTTTAATTAAATTTGGGACTGCTTTATTGACTATTAGCAAACACAGCGAATGAAACCAGTATTAAAACTATTCTAAAATAGATTTAATTCATTTTAGAAAAAAATCTGTTTACTTTTTCACATAAGCGCATTTATTGATAAAAAAAACGAGGCTAAGAATCGATTTTAAGTCCCTTCTTTTTAATCTGGCAGGTGAACTTGCCCCACTTAGTCTGTATAAATTTTCACCTGTAGTCGAGGTCAATAGATTTTTAAATTTCCCCTTCATAGCCCCGAGGGACAGTTGCGGTTTATTCACGCAGCAGAATTTGGGCTCCTAACTTTGAGCAAATTTTATTAACGGGTTTATACCCACAATTAGGGAGCAAGGACCTAGTTGCACCTACAAGAACATTGCAGTTTATTGACATTCGCTGAAAACTTACCCAGTTTTATATAAATTGATCTTAGTTTTGTCAACTTATCTGATTTGTATTACAGAATTGCATCTTCTTTGCGTTTTTGAATCCTTACTTGTCGCGGAGATTTACAAAAAATTTGAGTGATGTGTTATTTAAGAAATTTATTGATGACAAATTCTTTTTTGATTGCAGTTTATGCAACTGGTTCGTATTAGACTTTTTTATGCATATTTGTTATAATGCATTTTTACAATAGTTTTAAAATCAGAGCTTGAATTTTGTTCTAAATTTGTGATGTAATAATTTTTTATCAATCATCGTTGGTTTAAAATTCTTGTCTGTATTTTAGGCAAAAACGAAGAATTTCTCTCTGGCAAGAACGCATCTCAAATATCTGACTTACGTAAGTCCATGTCAAACTTTGAAAACCGGTTTTGGCCAGTTATGGCTTTTTTGCCTCTGGGCAGTTTGCAAAGATAGTTTTAAATTACTGAAGAGTCAGTCGCCTTTGCAAATACTTCAGTCTAGATCCTCCGAATTTTTCGTCTCTAAATACCAGCTATGCCGTGAAGCGACACTTCGTAATAGTCGACAATTCGTAACAGGCGACAATTCGTTACAGGCGACAATTCGTAACAGTCGACAATTCGTAACAGTCGACAATTCGTAACAGGCGACAATTCGTAACAGGCGACAATTCGTAACAGGCGACAATTCGTAACAGTCGACAACTCGTAACAGTCGACAATTCGTAACAGGCGACAATTCGTAACAGGCGACAATTCGTAACAGGCGACAAGTCGTAACAGGCGACAATTCGTAACAGGCGACAATTCGTAACAGTCGACACTTCGTAACAGGCGACAATTCGTAACAGGCGACAATTCGTAACATGCGACAATTCGTAACAGGCGACCATTCGTAACAAGCGACAATTCGCAACAGGCGACAATTCGTTACAGGCGACAATTCGTAACAGTCGACAATTCGTAACAGTCGACAATTCGTAACAGGCGACAATTCGTAACAGGCGACAATTCGTAACAAGCGACAATTCGTAACAGGCGACAATTCGTAACAGTCGACACTTCGTAACAGTCGACAATTCGTAACAGGCGACAATTCGTAACAGGCGACAATTCGTAATAAGCGACAATTCGTAACAGTAGATTAAGCGCGGAACACTGATTTACGCGGAATATTCCTCTCGTGCCGGATGTAAGCGCAGCCGAGCGAAGCACCACCCCCTTTTAGGTTGCAGAATGGGTCTGCCTAATTGATTTTTCGAGCTCTTTTAAAACACTACAAAGACCCTATTTTGACAAATGTTTGTGCGTCGCAGGCAAGTGTTTAAAAAAACACAGGCCAAAAATGTCGTATTTAGCATTTTTTTATAGCTTTTGACCGAAAAATAGCATTTTTTTGGCACGCATTCCCCCTCAAAATTAGGATATAATGGCGCCTTTAGAAAAACTTCAGGGTCGGTCGGCCGAAAATGGGTCAAATTTCAAATTTTTGACGGAAAAAATATGATTGATGAGAATATACGTAATGGCTGTTTCGGTGTTTTAGCCCTGGGTTGGAACCCTCTAGAGCCAAGCAGCAGCAGTAGCATCTTCTTCGTCTCCGTCGGTATATCTCTAGGGGTCATCTTCATCATCTGTGGGGTGGTCGTGTTCTACCATTTCACCACATTCAAACCACAGCAGAGGTCAGTACGCGGAGGTCAAGGGGGGGGGGGGTTGGTTCGAGTGTAAATAAACCAGCCAAAGTACAAGCCAACCGAAAATGCGCAGAGTATATAAGCTAAAATGTACTGCTTCAGTCGAAAATTTCCATCATATGAAGGAAATTTGCATAAATTTCGTGACTGTTACACAATTGTTACATAACTATAATATAACACTTACGTATTTTCGGCTGGTTGTTATTTCGGCTGGCTTATAGTTCGGTTGGTTTATATACCACCGTCATTTTCACTCTAATAGTGTAGCAATTCGAACATTTGCAGAATGCAGATTTTTGCACTTTTGCAGAAGGAAATAGCGTCCTCTCCGTGATCTGATATAGTGATGAGACAGTTTGAGCGGTACTCTGTTTTTATTTTAAAATCTTCACGGATTTTTCAAAAAAGAGCTTTAATGCTTTTCTGGTACGAAGTCTTATGTGCTGAAGTCGAGTAAAATTTTCGAAAAGACAAAAAAGATTGGAAGAAGACTGCAAAAATACAAGCAAAGTATTAATTTGGACCACTCCAAACTTATAGGGCCTTAATTTTTATGTCACAATCGGGCTAATACGAGTTGCCTTATTTGTGTTCCCAATATACAAACTGGCAATGAAAACAGCTCTAGGTTATCGGTTGAAATTGTTCTTTACTAGTTGTCGGCTACAAAATGTCGCAATCCTATCGATACTACGTTTTCAAAAAATTGGATACTTTTTGAAAACCTAGAAAGTTCTCTTAATTTAAGAACGTAACTTGAAAATTTTTCAATGTTTTTCAAAAAAAAATCATTTTTTCCTTATATTTATGTACTGTTTCAATCAAACTTTCAACTAATTTTTTCACCAATGCTCTTTTACCAAATTTCACCAGAATTCTTGAATTTAAGGATCTGCAAAACTGTATAAATAATTAATTCTACTATCAAAATTGATAAACAACTAAGTTTGTCAGGAGGTCTCGTTCAACGACAATTGTTCCTGCAAAAAAAAATCAAATTCTTTTTTTGCGTATTTAATGACATTTTGTCTTCACGAGATAAGCAAGTGCTTTTGAAAACATTTGAAAACATTAATTGTTTGAATGTATATTGTTTCGTTTCAATAAACTGTTAATATTGCATTAAAATAAGTCATTATCGATATCAATACGCAAAAAAAAAACAGCAAAAATTATAATGGTTAGTTTCTCTCAAACACTGGATGATTAATAGAAGGTTTCAAAATTTCCTAATTCGGTCTGATATAGAAAAAAGACTGCTCGCATTTAGGCGAAGCCTCGATTGTACCGACTGCTCCTCTAAGTTCAAGGAATATATTATATTTTATGAAATTTAAAAAAAATGGATAAAATTTTTAAAAATTAAATTTAATATTGAATTTTTTTCAGATCTTTTTTGACAATTTTCGTCTAACACGCTATGTGAAGTAAAAAAAAATGTTGTGATTGGCGTCTGGAAACGTACTAAAAGTTCCAAATAGTTTACCTCAAATCAAAATGGACTAGTTTCTGAGCAGGATTATATCGCCGCTATCGCGTTATTCGAGCAAAAAAAAAGTAGCTTGAATTTTACCAAATTAGCCAAGTTGTCCATTTGAAACCATTGCAACTTTATGAAAAACGATCACGGATAAAATTTGAGCCCAGGAAGTCATTAACTCTTAGAATATTTAAAAGACTTCACTCAAAAGTGGCTCGTTAAAAAATAGAATTTTGTGTGAAGAACAACCACCCGAGTACAAATATTCTATCGCTTTCTTCGAAAGTCGGAACAATTACTAATTTTTCAGTCATGCAAACGTGTAGTAAGTTAGTAGCCTCAAAATTAAAAATTCGATTGACAACATTGAAGTCAATTGTTTTTTTCCAAATTTCAATTTCAACCGCACTAAGTTATCATAAAAGTTTTTGTAACGGTGAAAAAATTGACGAAATCAAAATCATACCTCATTAATTTGGCTAATCTTGAATGCTTTATTAGAGTCCTTCTATATTTTTAGCCAGTCAGATTTGATTATAGTACTTGAAGGTGTTCCGGCTTGAATTTGCCATTTAATTTTATGGGGTAGATTTTTCACCTGGTACATTGAGGGGGGAGATTGTTCGCCTACTTTAACTTCAGGCAAAGTTTCAAGGTTCAAATCGTTACACGCGACTTTCTATCAATAGCTTAAATATAAGGGTGGTGTTTTCGTATAAAATAAGACCTTTGCTTTGATGGTGATTACTACTTTTTGACCCCGGTAATAATTAAGTCAAATTTGTTCAAAACTAGCAAATCTTTGATTTGTTGCACTGATAATATTCATGGTGGTAAAGTCCAATCTAAATTTGTACTTTTGTTGGTTAATGCTCATTTGATAGCATTATTCCCAGACAGATTTATTTGCTCTTTTATTCAGACATTAAGTATAGTTAGCAATCCTAAAGCTAAACTTTTCAGCTTTAATCTTGATCTTTAATGCGATCAAAACTATTTTGGAATTCGTTAACTATTTTAAGCTATATAATATAAAATGGAGCGTTTCTAAATCAAAGACAACTTTAAACTTAAAAATCCAAAGTTCAGAGCATAATAGTTAACTTATATAAAAATTATTTTCTGTTATGCGTCTCCAACTAACATGTTCAAATGCTTCTTAGACCAAACCAAACCTGTCTAAGAGCTATATAACGAACTAAATTTTAGCGGTCTAAATTTTAGATAGCTTTGATTTTTTAAACAATTTTTCAACTGTCTTGAATTTTTTTGTCGTTTCAGGAAGAACCAATTCTATTCTGAGTTGCCATTCTCCGACCCGAACAACGCATACACAGCCCATGGTCACGTGCCCATGTTCATGCCCAAGGGGGGACTGAGTCCAGCAGGACCCGCAGTAGTGGGGGGACCAGTTAGCTACACTGCCAGTACAGGGTTAAACACAACTGGCTCAGTTCACTTGTTCCCCGGTGGGTCTAACATGTCTGCAGTTGACTCACCGTCGCCGTTTTTGAATCAGTCCAAAATCAGCGATGCTTCTGCCATGTCTAATTCGAGAAGTAAGTCATCTTTTTCAAATTTTTCTATCTCATTGTGACTTGCTGTTGCAGGTTTTTTTTCTTTAAAACTACCCGTTTTTCCATTTATTTTAAATAGTTTTTCGGTTTGGTTCCGTCGGAAATTCTCGGAAATTTAATAGTGTTGAGTTTCTAAATATGTTTGAGCCCCTGCTGTGCCTCTGATATAATTTTGGATATAATTTTTAAAATTCTGTCCTACGTTAGTTATGTGAAATCTTTTTCATCTTCTGTAGTCGTGGACCCCGCTTTCAACTTTGTTCATGCCTCTTACAACGCGCCTCAAGGTCAAGTGTGCTGCTATGCGGCCGCAACACAGCTCCACCCGCAACACAGCCGCAGTGCCGGAAGTCCAGCGGCAACACCGACCGACCTCCAGAAGACAGAATTGAGTGGCAATAGTGCAGACAGTGGTCTGGATATGACTGGCCAACCGGGCGGTGTTTTCGCTTTGAAGTTCTCCGACATTGAAGTGGCTAAGGAGTTGGTGACGATCCACGAAATACTTCAAGAAGGTAAGAATTGTTTGCTAAACTTTAGTTAGTATAGTTACTTAGAAAATAAGAATTGTGTCTTAACTTATTGAGAAGTTTGACGATGACTTATAGAAAAAAACCTTCAACTGAAAATCTGAGCATTTGATGTTGAATATGCTTGCATTTTTTCAAATATTAAGAACAGGTCAATTTGTTACTCGGAATAACCAGAAAGAGACAAATTATTTGTTTGAAAATAAAACAATTAAAATGTTCAAAAGTTATTGAATTAGTTTGGTTGATTGGTGTTCAGGTACATTTGGAAGATTGTGCCGGGGCTTCGTGACAATTCCCCGTGGACCAGATAGCAGTCCGGATACTCCAGCTGAAAGAGAAGTCTACATGAAAACAGTTGCAGGTCAGACATCTTTTTCTTTTTTTTTGCATTGAAAAAAAAACGTTATTTTTCTCCTTTTCTGTAAAATAAGGTTAATAACTTAAATTAAATATGTGCACCAAGAAAAACTGACGTAAAATAAGATTTTTTTAAAGCTTGAAAGTTTTGTCGAGTTACGAGCAAATATTTAAACAGTAATTTTTTGCTACCGTTAGAACTTAAATAGATACATTAGTAAAACCTGAAGACGTAGGGGAAGGGGAAGGGGGGAGGGGCAGACGCCTCCTTCAGGGATTCGACCCCCTGTCGACCTAAATGGGTCCCCTTTTGTAGTATTTTGAGATATCAATTTTTAGATGACTGACCCTAAAAATTTTAAAAGGCGCCGATCTATACTAATTTTGATGGGGGAGCGCGCGCCAAAAAAACGCAATTTTTCGGTCAAAATTTTCCAAAAAGTGCCTAAAAACGCGTTGTTTGGCCTGTTTTTTCAAAATGGCGCAGAAAATTTGGTCAAAATGGGTCCTTATAGTGATTTGAGAGAGCTCAGAAAATCAGTTGGTTGACCTAAAAAAACCAAGGTCGACAAAATTTTCGATTTTTTTTGAAAATCCGCCCACCCTCGAGAAAATCCTAGACCCGCCCCTGACTGACGAAACAAAAAAATTTCAAAATGACTGCAAAATGTTTTCGAATCAAATAAATTCAAGTACGTTGAGGTTTCCTTTTTTATGCTTATTTATTTTCAGGTCGTCAAAAAAAAATTTTAAATACTTTTGCTTTTCTTCAGCAAATTCTTCAACCGCCCAGATTGACATGATGTTGCGAGAGGGGGGCAAGTTCCGCCGTGTGAACAACAAGTACGTGCTGTCTCTAGCGGGCGTGGTCACCCCCAACTATGTCTCAAACAATTCTGTCATCTCCCCTCCCATGCTACTATACCCTTACTCGGAAAACGGAAACCTCAAACTGTTCCTGAAGCAGCTGCGAGAAAACCACCAGGTAAGTAATTTTCCTCCTTGGGGAGGGGGGCTGAAAAATTATTCCTGCGAGCGTGGGAGAAGGTTGAAAGAAATAGCAAAGCATACTCAATACAATTGTTTTGAGCCTTTCATATGAAATGAAAGGTTTTGGCAAAAAAAATTGCATTTTTGCAAAAATCGATCATTCTCAAGAATTAATATATGCCGACCCAAAACTGATGGTGTTTTTTTGAACTCTGAGTGAAGATCAATTGAAAACAAAAAACTGTTGTTAAAAAGTACTTACGAACCATACTTTTTTAAATGAAATTATAAGTTTACAGTTTAGTTCGGCTTGGGAGAATACCAATAAGGCATCAGCCTGTCGTGTGGCATCTTCATGAGCAAAACCTGTTCGTCTACTATTTTAAACTCAGATCATTCTTTGTTCTCTAGCCCCTGACTACTAAGGAGGTGCTAGGCATGGCTGTTCACATTGGCAAGGCAGTGCAGTATCTTCAGGAGAAGAAGAAGATGGTAGTGGCTGATTTGGCCACCAGAAACTGCGTGTAAGTTAGAAACCACACAAACACTAAAATCAAAAGAGAAATTGTTTAGTCAGTAATTGGAAGAGTGTAGTTCCATGATTCTAAATACTACTCAAATAGACTGAAATTGTTTTCTTTACTTTCGTGGAAAACAAGTTTGGCTTTTCTGCCTTCTACAAAAAAAGGAAAAAAAACAGTCAAATTGCAGTCATTTGTACTAAAAACACCCAAACACTCGATAAAAAAAAACTCTTACTTCCTGTGGATTTGCAATATTTCTCATTATTAGGCTGGCACACAATTGAATCTGTTTTTATTAAAATTAGACAGCATTAATAAATCTTTCTATTATATCTTACTTTTAACCCATCTGATATTTCACTCCTTCAATTTATGCTCACTCCATCTAAGCTGTTTCTTCCAGGGTGGACGGGAGACTGGGTGTGAAGATAACGGACAGTGCTCTGGCTAGAGACGTGTTCCCCTCCGACTACCATTGTCTGGGGGATGAGTTGAACAGACCTGTCAAGTGGTTGAGTCCAGAGGCACTCCTCACCTACTCCTCCGAAGCCCCCGGCGATGTGGTAGGTGCCAATCTGTTGTCCATTCACTCAAAATAAAAGACAAAAGCGGACCCTCGGGGGAGGCATGGGGGACTCTAGTTGCCCACTCCCACAAACTCAAGTTTGGTTGCCAAATCTTTCGAAAGTGTTCCCGTTTTGGTACTATTATATGAAACTCATTTTTGGTTTGATCATTTTTTAACTTCAAAATTTTTCTAAAGGCGCAATTTTTTGGTGAGAACGTTCCAAAAAATGCACTTCAGCATTTTTTAATGCGTTTCTTTTCAAATTCGTCTGCGGAGCAAAATGTATTGGCAAAATAAGGTCTTTTTGAGCCGAGAAAATTAAATTGGTCGACGCATAAAAAAGAATAATCTGCGTTTGAAAGTAAAAATATTAACTTTTTTGTTGTTGTTGTGTAGTGGTCGTTCGGAGTGGTGGTTTGGGAACTGTTGACGTTCGCCCAGCAGCCCTACCTGGACACAGACCCCTTCGAGATGCTCAACTTCCTCCGAAGTGGGGAGCGACTCCTGCAGCCTCTCAACTGTCCCGACGAACTGTGAGTCATCAGCTATGAGTCACTCTGTATAGTTAACGTCAACGCAGTAATATGATATAATGATAATGTGGGTACTGCGAATCGCAGAGGAGCTATCAGTAGGCCTTAACAGTCCTGTCGAGGATAGTTTATTTGTAATATTACTCACCCTTAGGCTGGAACACAATTGAATTTGTTTTTATTAAAATTAGACAGCATTAATAAATCAGAAATTAATAAATCAGAAAAAAAAACATAATATTGTTTTAAATTAGCGAGCGTTTTTTAACTGTAATCAAAAGGACTTATATCGTAAAAAGACATCAAAAACTTAAATTATGTTTTTTTTAAGAATAAAAAGTTCATTTCAAAATCAAAACGAAAAAAATTTTGAAGAACTCATTATGATGATGTTTAAGTCCATCTCTTGATGTTATTCAAAACTGAGACTCAAAGAAACTTACAATTAGAGTCATGTCACAAGAAGGGACTTATGGAAATTTTCCTGTTGTAGGTACCACTTGATGGAATCCTGCTGGACTTGGGACTCGGAGGAGCGCCCGAAGATCCACAAAGTGGTCTCATATTTGACAGACTTCAACAAGACTCTCGGAGCCTATATTTAAAATAAAAAAAAAACAATCTCTCGTTTCAGTTCAGTTCTGACGAAACTCGATTTGCGATTGCATAGTTATTAAATAGAAATAAATTTTTGTTTGCAACTTATGTTTTCTGGAAACAGCAATATATCAAAAAATGATATGCAAAGTAAGAAAAAAAAACAACAACGTATACAAAGTATGCGGAAAACATCCAAAAAGTAGAACAAAATAAAGTGCAAACCTCAAAATTGACGCGCTGGAAGTCAAAAAAGATCAAAAAAGACAAGGAATACGGTATTGCAGCACATCACAGCGATACCTTTTTCCCATTTACATGGATTTCTTCTGGTTGTTTTCCTGGCATGAAACTACAACCGTGGATCATTGCGGGTCTGATCTCTGCAAAGTTTGATTCCGTAAGGGCATTATCGATCGATAAGTGGCGTCTAAATGTTTTTTCGGTAGTTTTTTTTAATTGCCCAAATTTTAGATAAGTGAACAATTTTGAGTTCTTAAGTTTTTGCAAACCCTTAGAATGAGCCGAGTTGTAAAACAATCAAGGTCTTGGATAATCAATTAGGACAATCATTGCGGGCTTTTTGGTCACTTTTTGAAAAGATCGGTACAAAATAAAAATTCCTGGCAGGTTTTCTTGATCACGTCTGTGTCAAATATATGAAAATTACTCAGGTTTGGAGACATGGTTTAGTTAGCAAAAAATGGTTAAGAAAATCTGAAGGTCTCTTGAAACTTTGGAGAGAAGAATGCTGAAATCAGTCCCATAAATTTGACCGAAAATTTTGAAAAAAAAATACCAGAAACTTTTGCCTAAAATAACTTTGTTAAAAACTCGAATTATCAAAACAATGGATTCATAGCTTGAAGACGAAATTAAGTTAGTTTTATCAATAAGTATCAAGACGAAAGGAAGTGGTTTTGACAAATTTATCCCTGTTATTCCGAATTTCGAAGAAAGTAACTGAGTATTTGTGCTTGCGTGGTTATTTTCTCCAGACGAAAATCGACTTTTTAACTAGCCAATTTTGACGGATTTTTTTCTCTATTCTCTAAATAGGAATTGTTGTTCTGAGATAATTAACAAGATCCTTCACCTCAAATTAATCTTTGCAAACTTGTGGGTATTTAACGATTGCCAACTTGACCAAATTAGGACAATTAACGCTCAATATAATTAGCGCTAATAATTACCGCTAAATAAGTAAAAAGTCGAAATTTATCTGGAAAAACAAACCACCCCATGCTCAAATTTTCCGTCACTTTCTTCAAAAGTCGGAACAACAACTTGCATGAACAATTAAATGCTTCTTTAAAAAAACAAAATAATGCCGAACATTAAAAAAAAAATTTCCATTGCCATTAAGCAACGTGAAAACAATTTTTGAGGTCATTTTCTTTTTCTTTTCGTTAAATTCCAAATGAGATTTGCCGAGGTTTTAGAATGAAAACTTGGTTGTTTGAACAATAAGTAAATTGTTTTAGAGTTGAATAATTAGTTGTTTGAATCACTTTATTGCTTGGTTTTGAATAAATACTTGGTTTCGAATAATTACTCTTAATAGGAAGTTTATTCTGAATGAACATGACTTTTGAGTTGAATAAAGTTTATCTAGCAAACAGTTTGACACCAGAAGAGAATAACCACGCTCTGCATGGTATTAAGTATAGTTTAGCATAATGACCTCGATTAGTATAATTAACATCAATCTGCAGTGAGACTGCAAAAGAACAAGTAAATAACGAGGTACCGAAGGTCGCCTCACGACATTCCCCGCGGGAGAAAAATTTTGAGATACAACCCAAAATTAGAGAGATACTAAAAACTGAATCCAAACGAACAAATGATTGATAGCCCCCCTATCCCTCAAAAATGCTGAGCAGTTGGCAAGAAAGACACATGAAAACATGAAAGAGTTTGAATAAGTTTTAGAGTTTGAACAAAGTCAATCCTTTCCAGTAGCATCTTTTGCATGATTGAGAGGGGGAGAAGTCGCTGTTGAAGGTCCAGGTGAGGAACGATCCCAAATAAGAGGTTTTCGAGGTGAGGACGAGGATACCTTCATCGTTTCGGAGGTCAAATTTGGGTCCTCCTCAACTGATTTGACAGAATGCCTCAACGGATCGCCAAAAAACTGAGTGGGCTTCTTGCTACGATAGGACGTCCGGACTGACTCGGCATCGTCAACCACTGGTTGAGCAGGTAGAGAAAGCGAAGGGTAGGAGGAGGGCAGTTTTGATGTCTTCGAATGAGAGGGAAGAACGAGACCCTGTGGCGACATCATGTCCGGTGAAGAGGGAGTAAATCCAGAACGGGTGGGATAAGCGTCAGGAAAATCCGTAAGGTGAGCGGTCGAAGGAGAGGCAGCACAACGTGAAGTCCGCGGTTGAGGCGAAGTTAACGAACTGTTAAGGCGTTCTGTAGAGTCGGTTGGTAACGAACTCGTAAGCTTCGTTGAAGTGTGGGGCTGCGATGTAGAGTTAGACTGAGGAGCAAATCTGACCGGAGGTGAGTCACCCTGAAGCCTCTGATGTTTAATGATAGGAGAGGAATCTTTAACCACTTGCAGACCACCGTTAGATCCAACTGAGCTTTCGCTGGAAGAGTCGACTCTGAGGTCCACCATCGGAGTAGAGAGGGTTGGGTTGTTTGGCCGCTGATCTAGTATAGACCGTGTAGCGGGCCTTTTAGCAGTATCCCGAGAGGCAGAAGTAGCGCTCGAAGTTTGAAGTCGATCACCTAGAGTGTTGGGAGCAACTGAAACGGTAGACCGATAATTAGGTTTGAGGCAGATGTGATTTTTCCGGTAAACTTTCCCAGTGTCGGTAACGGTAACATAAGTACGATCCGTGACACGAACAATCTTAAATTTAGTCAGTTTATAAAGAGGTTTACCTGATTGACGGTCGATAACTTTCCTAAAGACCTTAACTCGACTAGGATCAGACATCAGAAGGTTTTGTAATTTACTTGTGTTCGACAGACGACGAGGTTGCACAGCTGGTGCACGCCTAGAGCTAACTTGTGCCCCCCGAGGTGTAAGTATAGTCGGGAAGCGTAGGATTGAGTCCTGACTTAAGGGAATGAGCGAGGTCCGAATGCCGGATTTCTAATTCCTTGAGGACCATTTTCCCCCATCTGGTGGAAGATTGCGTTTAAATTGCGACCATCTATTCGCCGCCCGAGCGAGTTCCGCCAACGTCTTGTAGGATTCGCTATCTGTCACATTTCCGTCCAGCGAGAACAGAGGTTTGAAGCGAGGACGGACTGCTGGACTTGTACTGCCGCGAGGAACAACTTTTGCCCTGTCCCTGCTGTAATCTTGACTGGCAATCTGGTCTGGCGTAAGGAGGTTGCGCTCCAAATCCTTGGGCAGATTTAACAACATTTCTACGAGCCTGAGACCATTCAAAATTAGGTTTAAGACCAAAGTGCAATTCAAAAGGTGATTTCTTAAGCACCGCATGATTACTATTGCGAATATCCTCGAGTATTTATTGGATCATTTCCATAAGATTTTTGAAATTAGGATCGAGTTTTGTCATACCCAGTTTTCTCTTGATTGTCTGAATCGTTCGTTCAACCAAACCACTGCCTCTATAATCTCCGACCGGCGAAAAGACATGTTTAATACCTCTACTAGAGCAAAACTCTTGCACCAAATTATTTTTAAAACCTGAGCCGTGATCCGTCCTGATAGAGTGAGGTAGCCCATGGATACGAATGTAAGAATCAAGGAAATTAGTAACCTTCTTAACCCCAGTAGTTTTAGAAATAAGAACTGAAGGAAACTTAGAGAATCGATCGATGGCTACCAAAAGAATGATCTTAGCCCCTTTATCATCAAGTATAGGACCAGCAAAATCTAGTTGTAATTCCTGATTAGGTCCAAACAAAACAGGCAAAGGTTGCGCTTTATTAAAAATTGACGCGGGTTTAGGATTCTTACCAAACAAGGTGCATTCCCGGCATTTCTCGCACCTATCAATGATCTGACGGTTCATGAATGGCCACCAGAGGTACTCAGAGGCCGCCATCATGGCCTCTTGTCCTGGATGAGATCGGTGGAGACGAGTGAGCACTGCTTGTCGAAGAGGTTCAGGTATGGCCAATTTATTGTCAATAACTACACAGTTATTAGCCACAGCTGCTTTAGGCCACAATTGGGCCATATACTAACCAAGTTTGTTGAATGATGTGATGTCCTTATTTATGATGGCTCGTTTCATAGGGCCAAGAAAACGATCCTCCTCCGTCAACTCCGCCAGAAGGTCTGCATCGAAGAGGCCAGGTAGTCCCACGGTTTCCTTTTTTGATGAGCTTGGATAAGCGGCACTATCGCATCGCCTCCAGTAATTGGGTGTGACCATCTTTTCGAACTGTAGTCCTTGTGGCAACAAAACGGGTTTTAGCGGCCCGTTCACGAGCTCGATTTCGTTGGCGTATTTGATCCAACCGAGAGATGCGGTTCAGTTGACGAGATCGTATTGGTGGCCTTGGACTAGGTCGGCAAAAATTCGGAGAGTTTATCGGAAAAGACTCCACAAATGTCAGTAGATCTGCCTGCTCGGCAGTTGAGTTAAGTATCGTCTGAGGGTCAGGTTGAGTGATAGTAGCGTTCAAGTCAAAAGTAGTAGGTCCAGGAGTAGTTTGTGTAGTGTCAGGCGGTTGTGTCATGTTAAAAAAATTTTTGATTTATGAATAGAGAAGCTGAGTTTAGATGACTGTTTTGTAGAGATTCAGGTCGGAGACAGTGAATTTTTGAGACACCAACTGGTCTGCAATAATCAATTTGCATACCAGTTTCTGATTGGTTGAATTCGTGAGAGCATGATTCGACGCCCTCTTTTGGCAAATAACACAAACAATCCATTTGCATACTACGATATGATTGGTTGAAACATTGAGTAACGCTAGTATCGCCCCCAACCGGCGAGTGACATAAATAACTAGTTTCATTATGCCGTGACACAAATTGAGCACCCTCTTGCGGAGGCATACATTTTTGATCCTTCACCGGGGAGACATTATAAGAGTTAATAAAAGAGAGGGCCTTATGGAAAGCCTCAATAGATTTA